AGTTGCACCTTATCTCGTTGGACGTCCGAAAAGCGTTTGGCCTGACTCCTCACACTCCTCTATTCGGACACTGCGGCGACACCAGGTACCCGATGGTTACGTTGCAATGGTAAACAATACGTTGACCTAGAAACAATTAACACTGAATTGCTCGGATTTGTCAGCCAGGCCATCAACATCACCAGAGGAGTAAGGCGGGGTGACGCCCTTACTGTATATCCTCGTCAATGATGAGGTGCTTGATAAGCTGCCGTGCAAGACCGTTTACCAAATGAATACGATTAGCTGATTTTAGTTCCTGCCTTCGCGGATGATATCGTCCTTCTATCCATGTTGAAAGCTGGAATGAGCAAAATTTGTTGAAACAACTGACTTTCTGAAAACGCATCCCTGAACTGAAACCGTCGATGTCTCTTTGTGCTAAGCTATACGGAGTAGCAGGACAACGAACAGCGACATGGGGCCCGGCTGCGCAGTGGATAATCAGCGACTATGGGACTTCTGAAACAACCATTCACAGCAGCCCACTGCAGCATTTTCCACGTCACCCTCGAATGGACCTACCGTTGATTGATCGTTCTGCGTTTAATGCTGAAAACGTAAGTAAGCTGATGAAGAGAATAGTAAACGATTCATTGAAACCGTAAAATAAATTGAAAATCATTCATGGACACTTCCTACCCAGATTCAGCTACCAAACAGCCACGATGTACATGCCCTTCGAATCGATTAAGATAGTTGTCAAGGTAGTAAGAATAGCAGTGAAGGAAATGTCTAAACTGCCAAAGGCACACTGCGTCGTGCATTCGTGTATCTGCCTCTGAAAATGGGAGATCCTCAAACACGGAAGTAGTCTTAGAGTTTTCTGGTACAATTCCGATAAATATATGAAGGTACCAACAAAATGCGGAGTCGGCATGTCGCCTAGTTGCGGCAGACTGTATCCATCAGTCGAATGTGAGGAACGAACATGACTTGAGTCCACTCACAGTTGACAACATCAAACTTTAAAGGGCTTGTCTCAAACAGATTTGTATGTCAGCTTCCACGATACCTACAAAGAAAGCCGTTCGCGATATTGAACCACGGTGGAAATATAAATATATTGAATAGCATGGGTGACAGAACCCATCCTCGGTTTACACAAAAAATTGTTCGACATGACCTCTGATTTCTGGCGACCACGTAACGTCTGACAACGGAGGTACAGAGAGTCAACAAGCCACCGGAGTTGCAATCGACGGAAGGTTGAAAGAAGATTCAGCATCAGGCCGTCGCGTAGGAATGTACTCAAACAAAGGGCAGATGGATAAATGGTGTCATTACGATTCTTCCACCTTACTCAGTTTTACTGACGATTTCGTTTGTGACACAGACGAATCTCTCGTCGGTTCCAAGCTCTCTTGGAAAGGGAACTGCCCTATGGATCAATCATTTGCCAGAGACTCAGGTACAGGAGGGAAATTCTTTATATAGCAAAACTTATGTGCACTATATGACATCATTGCACTCTTTCGCAATTGTTCGCTTTCCCACGAAGGTATTAAGATATCTCTATCATGATAGTTACAATTGATTGTATTCTTTCGTCCGCATCCCGATATTTCTTCAACTCTAGCGGTAGTTGATAACCGGCAGCAAGTTATTCCTAGTCGATTTCGCGGACCTTCTGAACTTAACGCAGGCCACCAATTAGGATCCCTACAAACCGATGTGTCGTTCCCAACTAGGGGCCACGGACAGCTTTTTATGGATATACAACACTGTGGTTTCGATATTACAAGTGATCAATATTTATTATGCTATATTAACAAAGTTGCTCTGTACATCAGCTAGTTGCTTTTCTATGAAAGTCTCACTTTAAAGTTTAAACAAATTTAAATTTAGTGAAATAATTGGCAATTTCGCAGATAGTTTGATAGATGCTTTGTGATTTTTATGTTGTTTTCTGGGAGATATTAATATAGAAATAATGAACTTCTGATGATTAACGAAATCTTACAACCTCAGAAATTCATTAGTTTGACAAAAGTTTGACATTGTGCTCATGAGAGCCTCTCACTGATATATAACTTGCTAGGTTTCATGTTACAGTTGATGGAAATGACCACTGTCCAGTCATATAGAATCAAGCGCGCCACACGACTGTACGTTTACAACGACTATCGATCGTCACTGAAACGGCTCGCACCGAAGTGGCCCACTCTGGTAAAATGAACGTTCTACGTATATTTCGTTTGCAGAATTGTACGAAACACTCATCTAACTCATTTTAGACAAAAGCGAATTTTTAATATTTCCTACCGGTTTTTCAAATGCCTTATTTCAGCTTGTTTCATTGGTTGATTAAGACATTACTTTATGTTAGTTTTAAAGATAAACGATTTAAATCCTTTAAAAACAAGCAATTCTCTGACCATTTTTAAAGTTACTTGAATTTTCTATGTTTTCCTGGAGCATAGCTAACTATTATAAACGGAAAAACAACACGGCGTAAAAAACCTAAACGCAATTATGGATTGCGACATGAACTACAGATTAACAGAACGTACAGTAAATATTTTTTGATCCAACGAAAAAGGAGCAAAATGCTTGACGATCTTTGATCATCAACCAAAACTGTCCTTTGTATAACAACTGGATATCAGCGTGAAAAATCACAAATGAAACGAAGTGAACAGCACAGAATTTTCCAACGAGTTTTCAGCGAACTTGGTTCCACCCTGCCGCAGCAACCACAGTGTTTTTACAGTCTCTACCCTTTGCGACTTTCAAAACCAGCTGCTCCAAAGAGTGATCAACAATGCATCGTACACTTTCACAGTTTTAAACACCGGTTGGTATAGTTTTTCAAAATCAATAACTTTAGAGCCACAGCGGCTTCTAACAAATAGCCGGAATCAAATCGTGTCAGTCCGTTTCCTATCGATGGAACTTTCATTTGATTCGCTGTACGAGTGCTCACAGAGACTGGAATTCGCGTCATCATTGCGAAGGCCCCTGGAAACGCCAGCGCAAAACGGAAACGGCAGATTAGGTTTCACTGACAAGCTTCTGTGCAGTTGAACTGCATTATCATGTATTTCGTTATTGATGGATTTCCTTCCCGCGTTCGGTTCTTTCGACGTTCCGTCACCGTTGCTGCTCCCATTAAGGGCAGAGAATAGCTGTTCATAATTTGAGTACAGTTCCGTCTCCAATTCCTTGGAATATATCTGCTCTGGCGCTGTCTCGGCTAGAGTTTGACGTGGAAGAACCGCTGTTTGCTTCGACACCGGCCTATTCGAGAACAAGTCGATCTCTGACTCGTTAAAGTTCGACCAGCTGGTCAGTCCATGGACACCGTTGCTGACTTATCAGCTACCATTCAGTCTGCGTTGGGGCAAGGGGAGGATCGGACTGGAGTTCCTGCACCACCGGCATAAGTTTCTCGCACGTGCAAAATGGCCTCCTTTGTCGATATTGTGTACTGTTCTCCGAGGGAGTCACCAGCCGATGATCTCTTCGAAATTTTATACACTTCTTTCGACGTTCCTTCATCTTTGCTACCCACATTAACGGCCCTTGACTTACGTGTTTCTTCTACTACTCATTCAGACAACTTCGACAGCTTATGCAAAATTAGCCTATCTCTCATTTTCGCTTCAAATATTGACGCCGCTTCCTCGCATTGCATACGACACTAGCTGTTTATGTTTCGTTATATGGCCAAGTGTCATGTGCAGTGTGAGGATGTGGCGTCAATAT